AATACAACTTAACCACTGATTTCTAGTTGTGTCCTCTTTTGGAAGGCAAAACAAAGTAGTTTCGCTTTCACAACAAAACACACAGTGGCTTGAGTGAGCGGAGGCAGAGAAAGGGAAAATTGAAATCGCATCATATGACCCCTTTAAAATGTTTGCTGGCACTGATTCCTCTCACCAAATGCAGAAGCAAACAGTTTCAGACCAGAAAATTGTCATGCTAACAGCGATGTGTTGCATTCTGCTGATGAATAGTGTTTCAGCTGTGATCTGCGCTAAAAAAGTGAATGTCTAAATGCTGATCATTTTGCAGAAGTGCAGTGTTTGGAAACCCAAACCCATAGAAAATATGAATGCTTAAGAATTCAGGGTAGATTAATTAAACATTATTTTGGGCTTTATGTTTATAATATACTTGGCCGTTGTGCTGTACCATATAACCAAATCATCCTACAGGTGTCCTAAATGGCAGAATGTGTAGTGTTTATAATGTGGACAGAACAACACAACATAATTATGCTGTATGCAAGCATAATATAAATAAAATAAACCAGTAAATCATAAAAAAAAGTCGTGAAGGCATTCATTACCAGAGAAGGTGCTGTTAAGAAGAATTCCTAGTCTTGGAATGTTCTCATTATATATTTATTTAATTATTCAGTGTTAATCTCTGTATATTGTCTCGTTTTTCCTGCTCTCGTAAAACAGTGTTACTGAAAAAGTTCGAACGTCACACAGATACACAGACACAAAACACTACAAGAGCACATTCACTACATGTATTTCTTTTTTAAAAACCAATAGGCAAAATAGCCCATCCCCCCGAGAGAGCCCATTAAGAAGGAGGCGCCAAAGAAGGACGGCGGCTTCTTTTTTACCATTCGGAATGCATTGGGTAGAACTGCAGAGAGCAGGGTCGTGTGGATGTCCCCCAACACCTTGCGGAAAGCGTAGCGCTTCTGCACCCGCTCAAAAAACGACTGCAGGTTCGGCCGGCTCCCATCCTCCCAGTATTTCCTTGAGAGTCCCAAGAATTTGAGCCTGTGCAATGTGGCTCCAAGACAAATATCAGCTAGTGTAAAAGTAGGTCCACAAAGCCATAATTCACACTTTTGACCTGTGTAGAAATGAAAGATGACTTGTAAGATCAAAAACAACAGTTCACAAAGCAGGGTTATTACAGTTAACTAAAACCATTAAAAAAACTTTCGTTACATGACATAAAATCAACTTTAACTGAAAATAAAATAAAAAAATAAATTTCAGCTAGTTGCCAAAGCAACAATTCTCATTTTCGCTTAGTTAAAATCTAAAATTGAATTAAAATTAAAAACCGAAGACAATTAAAAAAAGAAATGAAAACTTATAAAATGACACAAATACAGCAAAATTACTAAAACTTTACCTAAAATTAAAATAAAAACAGAAAATATAAAAATAAACCCTAATTCACAATGTATTGCTAAAAATTATAACAGTATCTCAAAAATACTAAAATAACACTCAAAGCTAATATTTATAATGTAAAAAATAAATACATACATGCAGATTAACAAATGTGAATTCTTATGATTTACGAGAATTATATGACAAAATGCACCTATAAAAAATAATGAAATATTTAATCAAAGATCATGTTTCAAAAAGAAAAGGTATTTAAACAAGGTCATTTTAATAATAAAATGCAACAAAATACAACAACCTTATTTTAATATATTTTATTTTACCTTAGTGTATTTTAATAAAACAATATAAAATAAGGTTATTATATTTTTACTTTATTGATTATTTATATTATTCTATTTTATTTTTTGTTCAATAAAATTACATGTGCTTATTATATAAGGATATTTATTTTTTTATATATTTTATTGGCTATATATTTTTTTATTAATGTTTTGTTTTAATAAAATAAAATAATTTAGGGTTATTTTATTTTCATATTTTTATTTTAATTGTTAAATGTTAAGTGAACAGAAAACATACCTTGATATTCCAGTTTTATTTTTTCCAGCTCTGCCTCTACTTGGTCTAGCACCATTGCCAACTCACCAAGAATTTTTTTCAGGTAGTTCACATTGTCATGGTCCAAGATCTTTGCCTACAAAATATAGTTTTAAGTATTCAAGACAAGGGCAATCTATTATTCCATTTTCATGCTAAGATATGATTGCAGTTTAATTTCATATTTCAGCTAGGACAAAATATATACTATAGTATCCATCCAAAATGTGCTACACATCATGTATGCAGTGAAACCGCTGACTTACCATGAGCTTTTTCTGCTTGGAGAGGTATGGTTCTGACAGCTGGGGTTCCTCGTGGTCCAACTTCATCAGTTCAGATGCCGCATTGGCCAAATGTCCTGAGAGAAATCAGACCAAATGGTGTAGTTCAGTAAAAGAGCTTTCACACACCCCCAAAACTGAGAAGATTTTGTGTTTCCTTCACAATGAGTTATTCATAGTTAACATTGTCGGCCAGCACATTGTGAACTGGCCCTATTTTCTGCAAATTTTTAATGTTCCTGACAACTAATTAAGGAATTGAATAAGACTTCATGCATAAAATCACAGCAGTGACTGTGATAAACAACACCTATCATAGGAACTCCCTCCAAGTTATGAACTATAAAAGAGATTTATTTGCAATTATGCCGGGTTTTCGTGACATAATTTATTTCGCTGCAACCCATTGGCTGGATCAACTCTTTGGCTTTATTTGCAATGTACTGTAGATCCAATATCGATGAACTCTGTATAAATAGGCCAGCATTAGAGCATTTTAGTGAGAGGATGCCATGCCAGTTTACAGTCAACATTTGAGACAGCAATTTGCTTCAAAACGTGAAATCTGAGAAATAAAACGATTCCCAGACTAAGCAGGTTTTGCAAGTCAGATGCTTTGCTTTCTGTGCATTAATAGGAATTAATGGTGCACTGAAATGCAGCATCACTTACTACGTATTTCAGCAGTGGCGTACTTTGGGATCATGGAGTCGGTTGTGAGTTCTGGGTGCAGGATGCATCCATGTGTGTAAGCATCCATGGGCAGCCCATCCAGCAGCTCTCGGTACTGCTGTACCCTTGCATACATGGGAGTTCCTTCATCTGGAATCAGCTGGGCTACTGTGTCTGAAAGAAACACACACAAAAAGATTTTTAATATACATAAATATAGCCACGACTCTTCTGATCTGGTCATATAATTAACCTGCTTGGCTTCTTATTTTCACACAAAAACAAAAATTTTTTTTTTTTTGTTGCAAGCAACATTTCAAATTTCTAAGGCCTCTAAATGATCAATATAATCAAAACTTTAAAAAACCTGTTTTTAAAAAAAACCTGTTTTTAAAAAAAACTGTTGCACACAATCTACTACATGCCTGATTGATCAGCAGTGGCGTACTTTGGGATCATGGAGTCGGTTGTGAGTTCTGGGTGCAGGATGCATCCATGTGTGTAAGCATCCATGGGCAGCCCATCCAGCAGCTCTCGGTACTGCTGTACCCTTGCATACATGGGAGTTCCTTCATCTGGAATCAGCTGGGCTACTGTGTCTGAAAGAAACACACACAAAAAGATTTTTAATATACATAAATATAGCCACGACTCTTCTGATCTGGTCATATAATTAACCTGCTTGGCTTCTTATTTTCACACAAAAACAAAAATTTTTTTTTTTTTGTTGCAAGCAACATTTCAAATTTCTAAGGCCTCTAAATGATCAATATAATCAAAACTTTAAAAAACCTGTTTTTAAAAAAAACAGAAAAAAAACTGTTGCACACAATCTACTACATGCCTGATTGATAGTTCATACTTTTTTTTAACTTTAAAAGTCATAATTTTTCAGGTCATGGTACACTTGTCTTTTTACTGTGAAATCTTTACTGATTTTTATAAAGTAAACCTATGAAAAACTTTTAAGATGAACTCTTACTGGACTGATGCAACTTAGCTTTACTTGATTATCCATACATAATTTTGTTTTTGAAAAATCTCGTTAAAATAGGAATATCAAATATGATACATCAAGTTTTTGATGAATGTTTATTTATCCATCTCTCTATCATCACTGTATTGCATTGCATTACATGTTTTCCCACCACAATTAAAACTATAAAGCTTTGATCATAAAACTAAGCATTTAAATATCATCTTACTAAGACATCTTATTGGGAGATATAGATTGACAAATAATATTTATATGCATTTTATTTTTGTTATACTGTTATAAAAGTCTCACTGATTTACTTTAAGCAAGCTTTCAGAATTTCATCTTAATTGTTGGCCATATCAATATCAGCAACTGTAGAAGACTGATGTATTAAATATGATACTCAAAAAAAACATACAATTTAAAAAAATATATTTTGTCTAAAAGTTCTATAAACTATTCTATTAAAAAAATAATATTTTTGATTATTTATACATTTATATTATAATAATATTTTATTATTTAATGTGTCTGGCTTTAAAATGAATAGAAATGCTAACAACAGCTTTTTCAGATATTATGGATGTCTTTTTCTCTTTGGTGACCAATCTATAGACTGAAGTCAGATTTAGTCAAACATTTGGTGTCAACAACCAGAAAAAGCTGTCATATCTGGTAAAAATAAGACTATAATGTTACTACACTGGGGCAGATAGAGGATGGTACAAAGGGCTACCCCATTTTACACTGCTCTGCACCTCCAGCATGCTGACCTGCAGCTCTCCAAGAACAATTCAGCCGATAAATACAGGATCAAACATCTCTGGCACACAAACAGCTGAAATATGCCACAACACCAAGGCACAAACATCAAGAACATCTCCCTTGTCCACCTCTACCAGGCCTCATTTCACAATTTGTTATTTAGGACTTAAACTCATTAGCACCATCCACAATGCAAATGAAAATCACACAGTAAATCTGACAAGCCCGTTTTTACATGTTTATGCATTGTAATTCATTGTAAACACATGTAATGCATTTTATGCATTCAGAGTTATCTGAATGAATTAGGCCTTATTTGCAATGCAATACAATACGTTTCAAAAGCTAAAAAACTTAACTTGAAAGAATAGTCAGTGCTCAAAATCAAATTGATGCATCAGATACATTAATATATTACTGATACATTTGTGTTTGGACATTCAAATGTAAAATATAGTTCAGAAGTGTCTGCTTCGATCTCTTTCATTGAGCTTGAGTGATCACGCTCAGCTCTTTTCACTTAAATGATTGAGTGATGTTGGATCAGAGACGAGCTTCGGTGAAAACACCCCCACACTCAAACTGTGAAGACATTCAAAATGACACCCAGCCATGCAGCCTGTGAGAGAAAATATACACTGAGTGTGATTTAGCATTTGTATTGCTTACACAGGGCAAATGCAGTTATCTTTAATACTCTATGGCATGATATGGCCAGTGTTATTTTGGTATCATTGAGATACTATTACAGTTTTGAATAATATTTTGAATAGTTCTTATTATTTCTGTTTTCATTTTAGTTATTTTAGTAATTTTATTATGCGTTTTTGTCATTTTTAGTAGCTTTTGTTTTTATATATGTATTTATTTCTCATTTTTATTACTTGTTATTTCAGTTTTAGTTATTTTAGTACATCAAGTTAAACCACAGTAGTCAACATTTGAAGTGGATCAAAAAAGTTCATCAAAGTTGTCCTAAGACAAGAACACATTTTTGGTTTTAGGACAACTTTGATGAAAGGTTTTGATCCACTTTAAATGTTGACTAGTATATTTTAAAATGAGAAATGTTGGTTTGTCAACTAGCTGAAATAGTTTCAGTTTACAATAATAACCCTCGAAATGTCACAATATAATTGCACTGTTGACATGAAACTCAAAAATAAAGAAAGTTGATAAATACGTTCTTTAGCTAACATAGTTTTACAGTAAATTGAGAAAATGTGCTATAATGTATATGTATTGTTTTTATTATAATACTGCAATTATTTATATATGTCAAATAGTTTATAATTATGATGTATGTTTTTTTTTTAATGAACACAGTAATACTGTACAGAAAGGCCAAGAAGAAGAGTGCATAATTGACTAAACTCTGCTTTTAACAGAGTTAAATGATTGCTCAATTTGGGATTGTAGAATTTCCAAAAGTATATTTCACAAGGTTTCCCATAAATTTAATTAGAGAAGAAATGGATATGTTCTTAAATTTGTTTTTTTTTTGTCATATTCTTGGTATAGATTTGCCATTTAGCACTAATTACTTATTTATTTACAAAAAAATATTTGTACTTATTGGAACTATTTTGGGGAAAAAAATGAACAAATCAATATATATATATACATATATATATATATATATATATACACACACATACACACACACACACACACACACACACACACACACATACAGTATATATATATATATATATATATATAATTTTTTAATGAAAAAATTATAATGCATACCAGCTGGTACAGTAACAAGCAACGTATCTTTCTGTAGTCATACCTCCAATAAAGTTGGTCTCTATATAATCAATGATTTGGTTGTAGTCGCTGACGATCGTGTCTCCGTGGATGAAAACCGGCACTTCCTCCCCTAGGTTGAGCCTCATAAACCAAGGCTCCTTGTGCTCAGTGAGAGGCAGACTGACATCCCGTTCTTCACACAGCAACCCTTTCTCATTGATCACCAGACGCACCTGCCACAAAACACACACAACATCATCATGACATCATACTACCTCAAGACTCTGAGAGCTTTAGGATTTTGGGCATGGGTTATTATAGTTAACTACAACTAAAACCATAAAAAAATGTATAATAATAAACATTTTTGTTACTTGAAATAAAATACATTTTAACTGAAATAACATAACATATAAAAAACTTTATTTCAGCTTTTTTTCTCACTTTAATTTAGCTTAACTTGACGTACTAAATTAACTAAAGTTGAAATGAAACATAATAAAAAACTATATAGACATATACATAAAAAACTACTAAAATGACAAAAACAAAGCAGATTACTAAAACCTAATTAAAACTCAAATCGTATGAATGAATCATACTAAAATAACACTATTTTGGACTTGAAAAGAAAATGTCATTAAAATAAAATATAAAATAGGAACTAGGGAATTTTTAATTTAGCAGTTCAGCTTTCAGTTTTCAATAACATATATAGTATTCAACTAGAAAAATGTACGTACGTCACAAACAAGTAAATAGATGTTCTGCTCTATACAGTATCTATTTATTAATCATTAAACTTCATTTCAGTGTTAATGCGAGTTTTGAAAGCGTTCTAGTTTTAATTAAATGTCTGGCTGGCCAGCTGTTAGAAATTTGATTAAATAAACCATTTTATTGCTTATAGGTCCAATTTTCTTCTTATTCATCCTATGGCTCTAAGCCAGGGACCCTCAAATGTGGCCCACGAGATCCACTTTCCTGCAGAGCTTAGCTCTAACCCTAACCAAACACACCTGAGCATGCTAATCAATGTCTTCAGGATCATTAGAAAATCACAGGTAAGTAAGTTTGATCAGGGTTTGAGCTAAACTCTGCAGCGCATTGGCCCTCCAGGGCAAGATTTGAGGAACCCTGCTCTAAGCAGTAATAACCAATGGGTCATGCGTTTTTTTTTTTCTCAATATCTCAATATTTTTTCTCTTAAAATTCCTGTTTGTATACATACTCACTATCCAAGGTCTACTGCAGTAACTATAGCAACTATACATATACGTAGTAACTATAAATACAACATAAAAACATAGGAGATTTTGTATGCTGAGCTCTGACACTTTGGCATTCAGCTAAACAACACAATGTGTTTTGAATAGTCACTTAAAAAGAATATCTGTTTGCTTTACGTCTTGATGGACAAGAGGAATGCAGCTAGTTTTCTTTCAGTTTTGGTTACAAGTAGCATTAAAGATACAATCCTGCCTGATTGATCGATCAAGATAAAACGAGGCTCTGACTGATGAGTGACAAGAGCATCAGTCAGCAGCTTGAGCAAAGCCTAATGAATGTCAGGCTGTGTTCAGCTTTGACTGTGCTGAGGTGTTGCAAAGCCAATAGACATATTTGATAAGGCACTTTACAACAACAGCGTGATGTCTGGATTCGACCAGACACATAATAATCAACAGAAGAAGACTCAGCCAGCATTACAGCTTCATCCAGATAATGCATTGATTAAATACAATTCATGACCAAAACAAAGGCACAAGACAAGGGTATTGAAAGGCCAGCACCAATCTATTTTCTGAGATGACATGATTGTTTTGATGCTCATTCCTAGTAAATGTTCTCCAATTAATATTTCTATAAAAATCAGTCAAAAACGAATTTCTCAGGAGCCTTCGAAAGAAAACACACTCGATGATGTCGAGCTTTGCAATGTTTAACTGTATTTCTCAGTCTGCTGGTAAGTAAATATGAGATGATTTTTGGCAGGTCATTGATTTTTTGCTCAGCTTTCCATGCAAGTCTGTAACTACTGTAATCAGCAAAATGAATCTGAGTCTTACCAATGTTTTGGTCAATTTAATATTGTAGTGAGGAGTCAGGTTTAGCTTAGGTAACACGTGACATTCATTCAAATCATGTAAACACCAGCAGCAGACTGACTATAGAGAGAAGCGTCTCTTGCACAACAAACATGAGGCTGAGGCCTGGTGGGACATTCCACCAAATAATGAGGCCTTTTTCATTGTGAATCAGTGATTTTTATAAGAAGTTTCATATTGCAATAAACATTTTATCAGACAAAGAATGTCTTAGTTTTAATAAAGTGCATTATGTAGTGCATCTCACACTACATTTAACATTTTACTATACATTGGAATATTGCAACACCTTTAAAAAAAAGGGTTGACAGTCATATTTAGCCATTTAGCCATAACTAGCCTTGCGCTCAAGGTCATGACACTACAAGGTGTTTCCTAGAAAGACAGTTTAACGCATAATATAAGAATGCAAGACAGTTTAGACAAAACATGTGTATATATATATATATATATATATATATATATATAGATATAGTGTGTTTGTGGAAATGTTTGAAATATTGTATTTATTTGTTATAAATATTATATTAAACTGCACACACTTATTGAATGTGTGTATGCATATATTCAGTAATCTGTAATAAAGAAAATTGTATTAAATTAGAAAAATGTAAAATAAAAGAATCATCACCAGCGGTTTTCGTCAACGCTATATCTATTTAATAAACATTCAAATCAATTTCTGTGTTAATGTAAGTTTTGAATGCATTCAAATATATGCATAAGTATATATGAATATAAGTATGCACATTTTAATATATATGCCTCTCTCTCTCTCTCTATATATATATAATAGTGTGTATTTGTGTAAATGTGTGAAATGTTTGTCATACATATTATATTAAAATGCACACACACACACACACATACATAAAATAAAGAAAATTGTATTTAATTAGAAAAAATGCAAAATAAAAGAATCATCACTAGTGTTTTTTGTCAACACTGTATCTGTTTAATAATCATTAAAATCCATTTCAGTGTATATATAATTTTGAAACATTTATAATATATAACATTATTATTATAGTACATATAGTATATATGTTTTTTTAATCAAATTATGCACATTTGCTAATACAGCAGGGAGAAGTTGGAAAAAGAATTAAACGTACAATTTTTTTTAAAACGCCTATAATAATACATAGCAAAAGTTGAGAGTCAGTTTTAATTGTTAAAGTCATGGTTTACACATTCAAGAGAGACACGAAAGGCATCTTTTCGTAGAATGACACTGGCTAAAAATGTGCACGAAGCAACTGACAGCAGAATACGAAATCACCGTTTGTTTTTCACAAAGCTACCTCATTTTAATGAATAATTTAGAGTGCCATCATCCTCCAGAGCAAAGCAACACACAACTCTACAACGACAGCCTTAAACCCGGTATAAACAGTTACATCTGCTATTTATTTTTCTCCCAAATCCATCTGATAGGCAGTATGCATATAACTTGATCGATGATGTTGAGCTGCAGTGGACTTGAAGCTAGTCAAGTCAAAATGTTCCATCTTCTGCTGAGGTTTCGTAATGTCTTCATAAAGGACGCAACAGAACAGACAGGTAAGGCCAATAAAACACGCATCCACCCAGAGAAAGCGCAATATTATCTGACTGACATTATTTGTCCCACTGCATAGATTCACCCACCATTTTCATGCTGTTTTCTTACCTTTTGAGAGCTGAAGGACTGAGTCCAGTGGTACAGAACGAGCCTGTCTTTGGAGAATGGCTTGTGTTCTATCGTGGGCTCGTGACTCTCCTCTCCGTCTGTGATTTTGCCATCTTCGTCCATAGCTGATATGGGCCACCAGCTACAGTTGGTGGGAGTAACATTGTTGGAAGACGCCATGACAGAGGATTTTGTGCGTGTGAGAGAGGAGCAGAGAGAGAGGGAGAGAGGGAGGGATAGAGAGGGATGGCTGGAGGGAGGGAGGGAGAGCGCGGGGGGATTTCAGCACCACGAACAGGGGCATCATCGACACTTTCGAGCCGCTGCTTTACTCTCTGTTACTCCACGATAAATCTATAGGGTTCGTGCAAAATACGGATTCCAGAGAAGATGGAAAGGAGAACTGTTTAAAAAATGCATAATTGTCATATTTGTTATCATTTTGTGGTTTTATACATTTTTGAAGAGAGAAAAAAAAAACATATTTACATTTATCATTTTAGCATTTTCTACAAAGAGTGTTGATTTATTGGCTCCAAAATGTCTAAGCATAAAGTAAAAACTAGTAAAACCTTCTCCTTACCCTTTGAATACAGGATAAATATTAAAAAAAATAAAAATAAATAAATAAAAGTTCATGACACTGTCATGAGGGTCTATAGAAGTCCTCTTTGTGATATCTTTTTTTTTTGGTCACATGACAACACCACACCAATTCGGCTAACAAAATATCAACACTTAAATAAATAATAGATATCTCTGGACGGTTATCTGCACACATTTTTATATTATACAAATAATGTAAAAAAATTGAAACGTGTCCTTCACAGAAGAGGTGTATTCAAGTAATTGTCTGTACGAATAGCTTTTTAATGTATTTTTTAACACACTCACAAGTTCATTACAATATAATTTATTACAAGACACGGGTCACAACGAGGCGTTCTCCCCATAGCGACCCCTAGAGGACGCAGTTCGAAGTTCCCATGAAAGGGAACGTTTGTTCAGGTGTTCTTCTAACAAATAATGCTATCTATCAGAATATGCTACCAACGCTGTATTTTTATTACTTTATGGGGTAATCTGACAGGGTAGTAGGCCTACAAATTGTCAGAACACCGGTATTGGACTACACCGATCGTGCTGTGTGGCTGTGTTTGGAATGGAATCCTAGATTACTGAATACTACACAGTAGCTATACACTGCAAAATATCTGCTATTTTTATAGCAAGTGAATCTGTGGATATTATACCATAATAAGCATTTCATAGTAGTAGGCTGTAGGCTATACATGTTCAGCAAGAGACATTCAGACGTCTTGAACATAAAATATATACATAAAAAATATTCATATCTTGAACATAAAAAGTTGTTTTGCATTTTAACACGATTATGTGAAAATATCTTAACTTTTGATTTAAATAATGAATAAAAATGAGATTTTAAAAAGAATCATATCACTTAGGGTTGTATGCAGAAAATTCACATCCTGTGCATACTGTACAGCAATTTAAAAGTAGGTTCCAACTCTACATAAACAGTACACAGATATCCTTACTTGGCTAAACGATTCCCATGAATACATCTCTGAAAATCTAAATAATAATAATAATAATAATAATAATTAAATTGAATGAACAGTCATTCTTGTTACTAGTATAAACTTGAGGCTTACAATCACGGAACCCTGGTGTTGCCACAGATGGCCTTTTGGGTAAATGCCTATTGCTAAGAAACATTTGCCAGTGCAGAATGGAGGGTGGTTACAAATTAATGTCACAAATCCTGTTCTTTCTGGACGTGTGGTGTGAGTACAAATAAAAAGGCTCATTCACTGTTGGCCAAGTCGTTTTTCTTTTGTTGGGTCACATTAGGCTGTTATGTCGACATCTAAGACAGCTTACTGACTTTCCTTTATCTTAATTATTTCAATTTTAGTCCTAAATTGTCAATTCTGACTACTACATATACATACTACTAATATTATAATATAATACTGTACAATATGCAATATATTATATAAGATTTTACTAAATAAATACTTAATATACTGTTCAAAATTATGACAAAATAAGTACTGTACCTATTTAAACACTTCGTGCTTATCAAACATTGGTGAAACATATTCATAGTTTTCCACAGGGGGATTTCCATCATCATAATCTACTTTATCTACTAGAAACCACCTCCAACAAGCTGGTTATAAGTATATGCAAATACGGCCCAAACTGTGGTTTAATTTTAGTTGAAATTGGTTTCATTTTTTTGTCATTTATTGTAATAAAATTCATACATTTCAAAGTACGACTAAAGACCTGTTCATTCCAAGAACGATAACTTTAAAGATAGCAATAACTATGTTAGTGTCCACACTACGGCACAATAACAGCCTGTTTAGATAGAACTGCAATTTTGTCGGCTGCCATTTTAAATGCTTGAGTTCTCTAAAGCCGAATGGATTCTGATTGGCTGTCAATGTTTTTATCGTTCATCAGCTAAAAAAAGAATCATTTTGAAAGTGATTCCTATATCATTTCTTTGTGTTGTTATCGTTATTGTTAGCCTACGGACTCTACAGTATTCTTCAAAATTTAGAACAATTTTTAAATCAAAATCTTAATCGTTGGAGTTATCATCCTTGATGGGAAGAGGCTTTCAGTGTCCAAATACATTTTGGGTTCACAGTTTTTTGATAGAGAAGGATGAAAGTACACAAATTATCATACAGGTGTCTTCCTATATAGGAAGCTGGTAGCTGAGTCATCACTAAGTGCTAGTGCAGCACTGTGTGAATAAAGGCACAATAATAGTTGCCCTGCCTGTCCCTGAGGACTGATGGATCTCAGACATGTGTTGTATGACCAAACCAGACCCCATGACATAAATAACTGCACGTGTTTTATTACCCCAGAGGTTGATATGAGAGAGACAGCTCGCTAGCAGTTGTACCGCTGTAAATACCATTGTTTCACATGCCTGAAGTGACAATGAGCTTACGGGTGGCCTGCATTTGAATAAAATGCAGTGTTGTAATACAATCTGTACTTTAGTTGAAGGGATGATAATTCTGTCATCATTTAAGGCCCATTCACACCAAGGACGATAACTGTGATGATAACGATAACTATAAAGTTTTAATATTTGGTTTAATTATATGAGAATGGGGAAGTCCACACCAAAACTATAACAAGACACGGAGGAACGATATTGTTGAGATAACATGACTTTTTAAATAAAGCGACAAACTACAAAACTACTGCACATGATTAAAATTAATAGAAAGTTCTTGTGCATTGGTGTGGACGCCAATATAGTTATCATTATGATCTTTCTTGGTGTGAACGGGCCTTTTCTCATTCTCCTGTCTTTCCAAACCTTTATGAAATTCTTTCTTCTATAGAACACAAAAATGTATTTAAAAATGTTATACAATGAAAGTCAGTGGGGTCCAAAACAACATGGACACCACTGATTTTCATTGTACACTGAAAAAACGAAATAAAAATGTTGTAGGATTTACTTTGAAGCTATTTCTATAATTCTTAATTGTGGATTTTGAAATTCAGCCTTGTAATACGAGATGTTAGATTTTAGATTATAAATTGTAGCTATATTTTAAATTTTAGTTTATTTTTTGAATAAAGGAATAGTTCACCCAAAAATGAAAATTTACTCACCTTCAGGCCATAGATGTGTTGGTTTCATTTCATGCATTACCAATTTAGCACTATATCACTTGCTCACCAATGGATCCTCTGCAGTGAATGGGTGCCGTCAGAATGAGTTCAAACAGCTGATAAAAACATCACGATAATCCACAAGTAAATCCATAATCTGTTATAACTCTTCCTCTAATGAAAAAATCCAGTGAAAATCCACCAACATATTAGTTTAGAACAGTTTAGGGCTGTTTTTGCTTGCAAACGGTGCTTGGTGTGTGCATATTTCTCTCCTGATTCAGACAAGACGGATTTTTCACTGCAGAAAGAAATGTGGAAAGATGACTCATATTTTAGCTGGAAGCAGCTGTTTAAAGTTAAAATGCCTTTATTTACTTGTTTAACTTCAAAAGAAGTAAACTGACGGACTGGAGACATGTGGATTACTTGTGGATTATTGTGACAATCAACTGTTTGACCTCTAATTCCAGAGGCACCCATTCACTGCAAAGGGTGAGCTATTTTTGTGACCTGTTCTTTTAAATTAGTGGTGAAATAATGTGTATTTTTGGGTGAACTATCCCTTTACCATTCCCTGACTGATGTCTTTGGCAATATAGGTACCTTCCAGGGCCAGTTCACTGGTGGCATGCGACACGGCTATGGAGTACGTCAGAGCGTTCCCTACGGCATGGCAGCAGTGGTGCGTTCTCCTCTGAGGAACTCTCTGAGCTCCCTGCGCAGTGAACACAGCAACGGGACTCTTCTGCAGCAGGACATCCCGGTCATCACCGCCACCAATGTGTCCGGCCAGGAGACCCTGGTCACTGCGCCCATGCCTCTGGGCCCATCTCGTGGCGGCTTCGCCCTCACCCTGCAAGTGGACCCAGATGCGGTCAAGCCCAAGAAGAAAGGCCTCTTCCGGCACGGCTCGCTTCTTGGCAAGCTGAAGAAGTCCGATTCCCGCACGTCCCTCTCCAGCAATAAGAGCAAGATCAGCTTTTTGCGGAGTGAGTCAGCTCTCAGCTCCGCCGCCAGCGATGCCAACTCCACCATCAGCCTGGGTGAGAGCGAAGGGGAAGGTGAAGGTCACGAGTTTCCACTGGTGGAGTCGGACATTGACGCCACCACCACTGAAGTCTACATGGGAGAGTGGAAAAACGACCAGCGCTCGGGTTATGGGATCAGTGAACGTTCTAGTGGGCTTAAATATGAAGGCGAATGGCTGAACAACCAACGGCACGGTTATGGGTGCACCACTTTCGCAGAGGGTGGCAAAGAAGAAGGCAAATACGTTAACAACATGCTGGTGAAGTCTGTGAAGAAGAAGGTGATTCAGCTGAAGGGCACTAAGATCAAGCAGAAAGTGGAGTGCAGTGTGGAAGGAGCCCAGAGGGCAGCTGCCATAGCCAAACAGAAGGCCGAAATCGCCAACTCAAGGTAAGGAATAAATCATTTAACTGCTCACAACAGCTTGTTTTGGATATGGTCAACTGTTATTGCAAAATTAACCCAGACAGAGGACGGGACTGATCTTGTATCATCTGGAAGGAGGGGGTTTATCCTGCTACTATTACTTTATACATTATTCCACCTATACATGGCAAAACACTTAAAATAAAATATGGCATTAAATGTCAATTTGAGAATATAA